GGGGTTGTAAGAATATTTTTGCCAGTAAATATTGCATTTATAATTTTTTTTAAATCTTAATAAGAATAAGAATGATTTTTTTCAAACATGTTCGATTATTTAAACCATAGCTGTCGGAGTAGAAAACGCGTCAGATTCTTCACTAGTGTAAACAATTTGAACTGGACAGAATGTTTCAATTTTGTTATCTTGTGAAAAACTAAGCTAAGGTTGCACATAATTATATATAAAAAGGCATTCCCGTATAATAATCCCCACCTCTGCCAAATTCAGGCTACAAAATTCTGGAAAAATCATTACTCGCATATAATACCTACTGACGTTTTAAACTTAGTAGAAAGTAAATTTAGTCTAAATTTAATATTTGTTCAGCTTTTCATCTGGTTCGTATCGATTTAAAATACAAATTTCTGTAGTTTAAGTTATGTTTTGAAACATAAAATTCGCACAGTATGTAGAGTGTAGGAACCAGTACAAGAATAAAAATTATAAAAATAAATAAGCAAGAGCATAAAAAAAATAAACGTAGCGGAATTGGAATTGCCTCCCTTAGAAAGGTAGTAACGTAATTTTTCCCATAGCAACCGTAACGAAAACTGCAACAATTACCACGTTTCGTTAACCTGAAATAGAACGTTGTTATTACTTAAATAAGTAAATGTTATGGGACCTTACCCATAATAACATAATGGACTGTTCCAAACGTAATAAATACTGCGCCTCAAGAGGAAGCAGAGAGTTCACTTCTAAGTCGGCTGATCGGCTGATCGGTTGAACTCTCTGCCTTCGGGCGGGGAGGAACCCGAAGGAGGCTACGCCGAAGAGCGGAGTCTCTTTTTGGGAGGTAAACCGACCCTGAACCCGTTTATACGGGTTCAAAGGGCATATTTTTGGTCGAGCCCACGAGCTCAGAGATCCCACGTTAAACCGGCCTTGTGCCACATGATGCCCTCGTGGGGGCGGGGGTGACTAAATACCGTTCAGTCTGAAGTCTGCAGTGAGGTCCGTCAGGAGTGTCAGTCAGTCAGAGCGAGCGAGTCAGTCAGTCGAGTCAGAGGCAGTTCGAAACAGAGTCGCGTTCATACAATTACTACTAAACCTGATTGTTCGTACTAACACTTTCTACTTCTCTGTATATATTCCTGTTTGTAATATATCTGTGTTATTCCATATACGTGTTCGAGTTCTTCTTTATGGGTTCTACCTTGGACTATCACCCGGGGTACAAGGAACCGGACCATAACAGTAATTGTCATGCCTGTATTATTTTGAGCTGTTGAGCTCCCCTTGATGGAAATGTTATTATAGACACAACGTCTATAATAACGTCTTCGGAACGGTGGTTTAGTGGTTCGTTATACATATCTTACTGTCATAAGTTTAATCCTTGGATTTGGTAGGGACCCGCTGATTCAATTAGGAATAAACGATAACTGATATCCCACGGAAAACATATGACAATGATCAACAGATATCAGCCAATCAAGGGAGACCTGATGATGACCAGAGGGTACTTAGTCGAAACGTTTTGTCGATAATAACATCTATATCACCCAAGATGCGGACAATATTTGTAAATATTACAAGAACATAATGTTCCAAGTAGAAAACCCAGTCCATCAGTGATGTTGCTTCAGTCTCTGTTGGACCATCTCTTTTCCAAGTTTTGTTTCTCTCACAGATCGGTAAGAGTGTGGAGGTTGTGTTAATTAATTAAATTATATTGATCAAAAATTGTTGAGTAAATTAGACTGCGTGATGAAATTTCCTCTTACATTAAATTTCAGTATTCAACAAACATTGAATAAGGTCCACATGAGAAACAACAGTTTTTGTACAACAATGAATAAAATATTTATATAAACAAGAGATACAAAAACAACTGGAGTAAGAAGGTGGTTTTAAAATGTTCAAATGTCCTTTTATGTTTAGATGAAAAGTTTTTAAAAGTTCTGGTTTGATAGATTATAATTTGTTGAATATTCTGTACAATAATGAAAAAGTGTGTCTTGGTATTATAGTAATTTAAGAAAAAAATAAACATTCAAGTTTGTATTTGAAATAGAGAAATATTGTTTACGACTTACTTTAAGGTTTACGGAATTGTCACTCTTTGATTTGTTTTCACTTGTTCGAAGAGAATATTCTAGTTGGGGTAAAGCTTTGTTTATGTTCATTGCAATAATTAACGTTGAGCTTGAAAGCGTATGAAAAAGATTCGTGTATTAAGTTGAATGTGGAAAACTTGAGTTGATTGTTCGTCATAAAATATTGCTGTGTTAATGAATGTTCACTCAGGCTGGAATCATGTTAAGGAACTTTAACGTAAAGCCTGGAAATGTGTGACAAGTTCAAAGGATTCCGATCGGCGCACTGTCGAAGATGAAAGACGTTTCATATTTTATTGATGACTTTGGTCACGTGATAGGCTCACAGAAGCTTGATAGATTTTGGTGGAATTATTTTTTGGTCAAGTCAAGAACTAGGTTGATTTTATTAAATATTAAATGACCAATTAGAAATTGAGATTTTCCGAAAATATACATTAAGCTGAATAAGCTCTGTGATTCACATTTTGTACGAAATAAACTCAGTCTCTACTAGTATCTTCCAATGAAAAGTCGACGCAGAAAATTATGTATATAAACGATTAACTACCCCAACGAATGTTATATAAAAAAAACACCGATGACAATACACTATCAGACAGAACAAGATTCAAAATATATGTATTATATATGAAACAAATAAAGCTTTTCATTGACCTCAAGTCATCTTTGCTAACACCCTTGTACTTACCTGCCTAATCGCTTAGGTTATAAATCACCTTAAAAATACTAGAAAGCACACCATTAATACAATCAATGAAAACAGAACATTTTAAGCATTTTAAATGTATCCTCAATGAAGTACAAAAAATTGTAGAGGACCGTGTGTGTTTGCGTGTTGTTGAATTGGGAACACGTGTGTAACTCCTGGTAGAATATTAAAAGGACCAACTACAAGAAAATGGCCGGACTTGAATTAAGTCTAACTGAAGATGAAAGGAAATAAAACAAGACCAATATATATATATATATATATATATATATATATATATATATATATATATATATATATATAAACAAATATATGTATTAAAAAAACAATTTTACAATGGACAATAACATTTGTGCGTGTGTAAACATTGGTATCTGTTCTTTGGTGAATGTTCGTACGTACGTGTATGTGTGTATAATGTTCATGGGGTCTCCCACAAATGGGAAGACACGGATCTTTTAAGAGAGCTTACATTGTAGTTGCTGAAATGAAGAAGTGAAAAAAGAGAACGAGGCGAGAAGTCGCCCAGTATTTATAATATAGGGAGAGTGAAACCTCGTGACAATTTGGGAATTAAGGAGGAGATAACTCCGACAAAATAAGGCGATTTGTGTCTCTTTTTGCACTTTAAGCGTAGGTATTTTGTGTAGGAATTAGAATTAAGCGTAAAAAAATGAAATCAATTGAAATTTAACAAACAATAAAGTTACGAGATGTTGGGAATGCTTTGAATTTGATTTTTTGAATGCAGAGGAAATAAAAGTAAGCCTTTCTGAGAGTACTTGGAAAAAAGAATGGTGCTTCTCCACTCCCATGAAAATTTCTGATGAGAAAGCTATGTTTCTTCTAGTGTAATGTTAGTCGTTTTACGTTGGTATAAGACAACTGAAAAAATTTTCTGCCATCTCTATTTATTGTCTTAGAACTGAGAGTTATTTCGTTGTTCAATAGGCCCTGTGACTTATTCTATTTTTAGCGTTGATGAAAAAAATGCTTCTTTTTTTTTTTTTGGTGGGGGTTTGATGAAATTGAAGTACGACACTAATGTATTTAATGTATTATATAATAATCGTGCTTGTCCCTCCCTTTGTTAGTTCGCACGACCCTACCAATACCCCATAAATAATAGACTATTCCGTTTTGATCGCGTGGAAAGACAAAAACATAACAGAGACGCTATTTGGTTAAAGTGAAAGAAAGAAAGAAATATGGTAGTGTTTAAAGTCTCCTGCCAACATCTGATAAATAATGGACTATTCCGTTTTGAACGCGTGCGAAGACAGAAGACATAAAAAAGACGCTACTTGGTTTCACTGAGAAAATAAAAGAAAGGTGAAATGTATGCTCTGTTTTCTTTATTTGATTTGATGATATATAAGTATTCAGTTAGCATTATTAAAGAGTCGACCATAGTTGGGATCATTGAGTCAATATGACTGATCCTTTTCTTAGTTGCATAGTATATGTTTCACCAGGGCTATATACCGTTTTGAATTCAGAGTTTTCTTTCTCTTAGACCGGTTGCCACCAAAAGGCTATAGAATCAAGTATGCCTTACTATTTACCCATAGTTGGGGGGATAAGAGTTGGATTCTTACCTTTCCCAATGGTATTAGCAGGCAAGTGAATGGAATGAACTTAACTGGAATTCGAAATCGGCTGCTGTTAATTTTTAATATTGGATTTATTTTCATTGTTTTAAGTTCCTACAATATATAGGACGCAGTTTTTCTTTCTAATAATATAATTGAAAAAAAAAGATGATGTCAGATATATATGAGGTTGGAGTCTTTCTGTGAATGATTACTATCAGAGATGATTATTATTACTTGAATATTCTGCTAAGCGTAATCATCATTTTTTGCGGGGGGTGGGGCTTGCGTCTTATATGCCATCAGTTATAATAATTTCTTTTTTTGACTTTTGTTTCTTTATCTAAAAACAGTTTCTTAGAAATGCCTAAAAAGTTGTTTTCTCTATTTTACGAGTCCCCAGTCTTTTCTGGTCTACTCACTGCACATTCGCGCACCCCTCATGTACAGCTGCCGCCAAAAGATGCGATCTGTGTCCCGTGGTTCTTATTAAGCAAATTTGGATAAAAGATATCACCGTAAGGCAAAATGGAGGAAACGCTTTAACTTCCTGATGGTTGATGATTATGTACCAAAGACCTGAAATTATTAGAAAGAGACGTACTGGGAGAAATTGACGGTGGGAAGAATGTGCCTCACAACAAATTCTGATGTGAGGACAATCTTTCGATTAAGATGGGTACATACGTGATTGATGTCTATGGGGATGATGGTGACAGGGATGATGCATGTGAAAGTGTTACTCTTTAACGATGAAGGAAAGAAAAGAAGCATGTGAAAAAGAGGTATATTTATGACCTGCTGTCTTGAAAGACAAGAAGGCATAATGAGTGGGGGGGTAACTGAGATACGAGAAGGAAATAAGGTAGAGGAAGAAGAATGAAAACGAAGAGAAAGGTGAAAGAGATATTCATTGTGACGCTTAGCTTCTAATCTGGTACAAGGCCAATATAGTGAGACAAGCATTGGGAATTGATTTTGCTTACAGTACTTGCTCTAAGGCAGGCGCCTTCAGAAGAAGAAAGTAATGAGAATGGATAGTGTTGACCTTTCCCATGACCTCAGAGTGACATACCGAGTAATAACTCTCCATAGTATTTATCAGGACAGGGACATTCATGTGACAGTGCCCATCTCTCTAGGAAGAATGCAACAAGATGTACTGTTCAGGCATGGACAATATTTATCAAGCAGTGATCCAAAGCCGGCGTAGACTACCTTCAAACCCCCGTCTGGATAGGGAGGCTGATTAGGAGCCCGGGCAGTGCTTTGTGATCCTTACTCTCTTATCAACACTTGTTTTTGTTTATACCTACATTTATATACATTATACATTAAACTAAACACAACTGACTATTAAAGAATGATAAATTTTTGTCGGTTTTGACGACATTCTGGGGTCTTTTTTACTACATCTGTGAATGTGTTTTGTTCTTGCTAAATCTAACAAAAACACTATGAAATTCAATATTTTTATCCATATTGAATGTGTTCAAATTATTCAACTTTTTATCAAGAAAAATCTCAAGTTAATGTTAAAAATTGCCGCAAAACATTGATTTATTGAAAATGGAATTATCTGTGACGTATTTGTATTTAGAGACATTGTAATTATTTTCAATTTTTCTAGTTGAATTGTTCACCTATACTGCATATGATCCATTATTGTACATAATTATGTTACAATAAAATGTATATTTTATATGAATACTACATTATGAAAATTGAGATGTAGTGGTGCGTATCATAGATTCGGTGGGGTGCATGAGATCCTTACACTGGCCCCACACTGAGACACAGGAGATAGGTGGGCTTCACTCCAAGCGAAATTCAAGCAAAATTTTTGTCGAAAGTAGCTTAGCCATTTTCACTAGAGATCTGTTTTAGAAATGGAAGAAATATTCTTATTTTTCATGTTTTTTTTTAATTTTTTTATACAGTTAAAAACTGAAGTCATAATATAATTTTAGCACTAATGCCAGTTGCTGCTGTGAGAGATTTGTTTTTAATTTATTCATTTCACTATACAGAAAATATTTTCTTGTTTCTAAAGCAAAAGATATTTACACGTATGAATGACCTTCCTTAGGGAAGTCGCCAATGGTTTAAAAAAGTTTACCTTTGTTGGAACACTACTAGTTTGACAAATAGCAGTGACAACGATCTTTTTACACATGTAAATGACGGGTTTAAGAAAATGGAAGACAAATTCAACAAGGGGATATTTTATATTTTTTATTTTATATAATTGAGTAATTATTAGCATTTCGCCTTATTTCAGATTAAGCTAAGCGGAGCATTGCTTATTGTGCGGGTCAAACTCCTCTCCGGTCTTTTGACAAGGAGTAGAGGGTTAGCCATTGTTTCTTGTTTAGGATTGGGTTTCCGGTTCCTTCTAAAGTCTACTTCAACTCTATACTTCTGTTTTTGTTCAAAAGTGCTTTCAAAAGCTTATTAAGAACTGAATATTGTCACTGTGGCAGGAAAAAATTACTTGGCTACATCCTGGTACAATCCAAATTTAGTCCATGCATCGTATGAGTGACGTCATGTATAAAACGATTTTACAGAGCCTCAATTGTAATGGAAAAGGATATAGCAAATATTCTATACTTATACTTATTATTATTATTATTATTATTATACACGGATAATGAATATTTTATATACGCTTTAAAATATCGTCTCCTGTACTGAAATATATTTTATTTGAACTATTTCAAAATGTAGACAAATAGAATAAACTCAAACACACACACACACACACACACACACACACACACACACACACACACACACACACACATACACACACACACACACACACACATATATATATATATATATATATATATATATATATATCATATACAGTCTGTTTCGCCGTATCACAGCTCATCAGTGTAGCTCGGCATGATCCATGATCGTATTAATTAAATGTTACATTCTAGTGGATACACGTGTCTGAGTAGACGCCATGTTTTTTTTTTGTTTTTTTTTTAAACCAGTTCTTATTAAGATTATCGAATGCACAGTCCACGAGGTGTAATTCACGCAATTTAAAAAAAAAACAGGGTGTCTACTCAAATGTGTGTATCCACTAATATATAAGGTTTAAGCAATAAGAAACAATGAAAAAAAAATCTATTCATTCCGATATATATATATATATATATATATATATATATATAAAGAGTTTTATATATAAAAATACACACACACACACACACACACACACACACACACACATATATATATATATATATATATTTATATATCAGTAGCCACTCTAGGCCATCAACGTTTATTGGGCTCATTAAAATCTTTAACAGAATATACTATTGTATAACTTAGATGCTGAAATGGTTTCTTTACTTTAAAATATATAATTCTTAAAAATCTCTAGCCGGATGTGTTTTCTGCAAAAAATATTGTATGTACCTATCATGAGAGTGTGTTTGTATATATGTCTATGTGTTTCTGTATCTCTCTGTCAGTGAATTTTACATTTATGTTAAGTACTGCTGAGTGATATCATATTTCCTCAACACTACGCCAGTCACAATTCTCACCCCAACTTTCCACTCGACATGTTAAGGCTTTCTTTGATATTCGCCGGCTTTAGGTCGGGCTAGATTTAATTTGCTCTTTTTCAATTGATACATTGTGCTAAAAAAAAAATTAATACTGTACGGAATAAATTACTTAAAATGGACATTTGAAAAGAATAAGTTGAAATAAAAACGTGGGATACAAGTCATTAGAGATTTTCAAAAGATTATTTTATAAGATGAAAATCAATATTTTGAGGCACAGTGTTAGAATAATTAATGGATCCAGCTGAAGTCAAGAATGAAAACGACGCACCACGAAAGATTTCTATTGCTTTGAATAAGATATACTTGAATTGTGACTAATACAGGTTAAGCCCGACAAGCCCAACCACCGGAGTTGCCGTTGATATATATATATATATATATATATATATATATATATATATGAAATATTTTGAGAAAAGAATTTAAGGTAAAAGTAACGGCTGAATTGAAACTTATTAAAATAGGGATGGTAATATTAAGAGATAAGATCGAATAAAAAGAGAAAAGAAATAATTTAGATCATTTCAGAAAAAACGCCCTATTTTGTAATATTCAGGAATATTATTGAGTTTAAATGTGACATTAATATGGGATTAAGGAAGGCGATTATGGCTCTACACAGCTTTCTATTTTCTTCATTATTGGGGAATTGTCACGACTTCTTGGGAGTAGATTGAAGTGTTTTCGCCTTACCTTATCCACGGTTTTCAATTCATAGTAGTCCTTCTCCTAGACTAGCAAACACACAAGGCTAGAAGGTTCAGTCTACATTACTATTTAACTTATAACTTGGGGAAGAATGAGATAGATTCTTGTCTTTTGTATTAGTGTGAAAGTGACTAGAACAGCTTTGGTTTGGTTTGTTTTACGGCATATCAACCTCAATGGGTCATTTAATACCGACAACTTTTTTTCTGGTAATATTTTTGTTTTGTCAAAAATCTATTTCTGTTAATATTTTTTTCCTGGTATTATTATTTTTTCAAAAACGTATAGCTCGTAATATTTTTTTTCTTCAAAAATTTATTCCTGGTAATAATTTCTTACAAAGTATTTCTGGTATTAAAACCTATTTTTACACTTTTATAATGCTTTTTACCTCAGTTTCGGGGGTTAACTATTTGCCCATAGCTGGGACCCTAACAGGTGCTACAACCCCGGGTCAGGATGGACCTGGGAACACCAGCAATTAAGAGGAGTTCCACGCTCCTCAAAGCCTCCTGATCAGAAGACTTGCTGTTGGTCGTAATTTATCGTCTTACCCTGGACGCGGATGTAGTTTATCGTCATACCCAGGACGTGAATAGAACAGAGTAGACCAGAATTCGGGCTTGGTTCACCGATTCTACTTTCCTAATAACCGTGACGTCAAACTGACACCCGACATATTTTTCTATGAACGCGAATTAAATTTTTTCTAAATAATTTTATTTATCGTATATATCTGTTGAATTTCTTTTAGCCGTGTCCCAAACAGAAAACTTCCTTTTCAATGAGTGTAGTAGTGAGGAATATCGCCTATCAGTCACAAGGATTTGAACCTCAGACTTTTTACTTACTTTTTCCGGCCACCGAGTCAAATGAGGAACAGAAACGTTGAAATTACAAATGAGCCAGTTTGCAAAATAGACACTTGGTGGCAGAATGAAATGAGACGGGACAAGTTATGGTGGCTGGAGAGAGTCATATGTTGGTTTGGAAAGAGTGGGTGAGTTCAGGAGAGCAATGAACAACGAAAAGGTGCAGAATGCCGGCCCTTACCTACCCTAGTTCGTGTCAGCTTTGCTTTTTACTCCCAGTAAAATATCCCTTGCAGCTAATGAATGTACCTACAAAGAAATAAAAGCTGAAATCAGACACGAGAAAAAAAAAATGCTCCATTGGAGCCGTCGACCAGCGATTCCCTTCCCTCTCCCTTCTCCAGAAGGCCCTCTTCTATGCCGAAGCAGCCACCGTGCTTCAGATGATGGAGTGCGATGTGCCTACAATGTTTTCTCCCCACCTTCAAAAAGACATATGTGCAGCAGTGCCACCAATCTCCGATTCTGAGCCGTCCGTCGAATTGCCCATCCACCCACAGCCTGTTGGCAGACAAGACGAGAAGGCGTTCTTTCACGTAGCACGCCAGCCAAGACATATATCTTCTCAGCTTTACTCTTCTCTTCTGAAGGCGAGAGAAAATTTTCTGCCAAGCTAAGAAGATAAAAATATGTTCTAAAGTACACAACAAGACAACAACAAAAATGTACGAATTGAAGAATCAACGAAACTGTGATGAACTTAATAGGTTTGGAAGGTTGTCGTCACTTAGACGACAGACATCGGTGAATGATGAGCGAATATGAACCCAAAGAAACGGATTTGCTTGAATAAAGATCTGTTAGTTCAGCTTTAAGATCTGAGGTACATATCTTTATTATCGAAAAGTTTCTTACTGCCTGAAACAGGGTGTGCCTTTATATGATCTGAAAGTTAAACTGACTTACCCGGTTTAATATTTCTGATTAAACTTCTGGTGTATTATTCAATGCAAGCAATACAAACATTAAAATTAGACCTTTTTCGATTTTGGAAATTAATGAAAGGCATTGATATATAAAACAAGACATTAGGTTTATAAGTCCCAAAAATTCCATTCACTGACACATGACCCAGTGGATAAAAATGTAGGACTGAAGTAATCCAGTGACTTGATCCACTGTTCAATGTGAGTTCAATACCTGTGAGTTTACCACAGCAGAGGTGAACAACAACTTGGTGAGTTGAGTTACTTAAGGGAATTAATTGAAACTGAGATATCCAGAAAATCACCCCGAAACTCCAGCGTATATCACTTGAAGAAGGCCAGAGCATAAAACGGCCGAAACGTCGTGAATACGACAATAAAACGAACAACAGTCCGAACAATGTAAAGAATGTTGATAGTAAAAGATTTGATTTGATTCTGAAAGAAGTGTTCGACAAAGTTTAACTTAGAAGCAAAAAAAATGGATGTGTGTAAAAAAGGAATTTTTTTTCACTCGTCACCACTATTAAAGTATACTTCTCCTATTATTTTTTAATGTTTTAAAAAAAGCTAGTTTTAGAATTTTTTTAAAAACTTGACTACTCACCAGGCTTCAAGCAGTACTACTAAGTATAATGACACGAATAACAACTTGTGCAATTGTAAGAATCCAAATAATTGTCCACTACAGAATAATTGTTTGATTAGTTCTGTAGTTTATCTTAGTACAATCGCTACACTAGAAAATCCAAATATCAAAAAAAAAAAAAAAATTCATTCAAGGAACGTTGGCGGGGCATATGCAATCTTTTAACAGCAGTAATTATAAGCACAAGACTTCATTATCCAAGTATTTTTGGAGTCCGAAAGAAAAGAATATAACACCTATTGTTAAATGGAAATTAACCAAGAGAGCCCGAACATGTAACTCCCTTTTTTAAACTAAATATGAAAATAAATTTTTTACATTTTTTTCTCAAGGACTATTTATTTATTCAATTATTTACTTACACGATTATAGTTGTTGTCTTGTTCATTATTGTTAAAACAATAAAAATTAAAGAGGAAGTATACAATAGCAGTGTATCGTAGCGTTACGTTAGTCTGTTATTTTTGTTTCTGCAAATGGACTCTTTCAATTTAACCTTGAACAGGTTGTTCCAGTTTATTAATTCTGTACATCGTTTCGGAAATATTTTACGCTGTTTATAACCAATACTATTTCTCTCCTGTTTTTACTTTTATTATGACCAATTACATTACACTTCATAACCTAGAGTTATTTTATAACTTTCATTACAGCCGGAAGTAGCGTCAAAACCCCGCGCTGTTGTAACACTCCTACGCCATAAAGGGACATGGGGAGAAGATGATGAGTATCCGAACTAGCAACTATCAGTAGCGATCACCAGCGACCAACTGACTCCTGCCGACCACGTCTTCTACCAATCCACTCGTCGATCCAGGTTTTACTTCGTGATGCTCATCCTCTCGCACCGTGGTTTCAACCGCCTACTCTCGACTAAGACAGCCTGCTAATACCAGCTCAACACACCGATGACTGCCTATCGTTCTTCGACATCTGCTAAGCGGTTTCTTCTGGTTACCAACAACCGTCAGCCTTGGGCTACAACTGCCAGCTAGTACCAATCCATATACCAACTGTCTATCAACCTTCAGCACCACTCAAGTTGTTCCTGTCATGAACAATACTCGACGCATCTAAGACCAACAGTCAACTACCAACATGATCACCCAGGGCAGTTGAAACATCCGGATTCTTCGATTGTATTTTTCTGTCAATAACACGTTTTGGCATATTTTATCTGAATTCTTTGTTCTTATTGTCCTTTCCTTGGCTTGTATCACTTTTTCAATTTTAATGTTTGCGCGTTTCGTCTAACATCGACATTCGGACCCCACAACACATGTGAAGAGAAAAATGTCCTTTTTGATGCCCTTTTTTTTTTTCACCGGTTCGACGTTAAACTTTGCCAAAAGATTTTATCGAGAGAAAACAGGTTTTATTACTAATTGTAATTAAAGAGTTATAACTTCGTACCTTTTTATTAATGGGTTTCGATCAAGAGAGTTAGTTACGCTGCGACCTGACGAAGTTCATAATCCATAGCCTGGTTCCCCAAACTCAAAGCATCTTCATGCATACTCATGCAAAAACACCATAAAAGTAGCACTTCATAGAAAAGAAATATTTTTTATTTCCATATACCTATCATAAAATAGTTATATTTTGTCTGTTAGGGACTCTTGACTTGATCTCAGTAGGATACAATAAGAAAATTCTAAGCCTCTTTTATGTATACTGAGGTCAGATGCAATCTGAACGGTACTGAACATTTATATCATGTCTAATTGTCCTATGTAACAGTGAAGTCTCTTTATGGATGATTAAAGAGACTGGAAGCAACAGATATGTGATTCTAAAGATGAATACGGATGATACTATGAGCAGAGCCTCTGAATAACGAGGTAGTTTTAAGGAAAATACAAAATCAAATGAAATTTATACTGACAATCAGAAATAGACAGCTGAAATTTCTGGGAATCGTAATGAGGAAAGAGAGCCTAGAGAATTTAAGACTCCCATGACATAGAAAAGCCAAGAGAAGGAGAGGGTTGAATTGATTTGTGTTTTACGGTGCATCAACCCTTTGTTGGTTATTTGGAGCCGAAGTTGAATTGTAAGAATAATCGTTAAATTAACAACTGAAATGAACAGCGCATTTAAATCTAAGAGAAAATAGTGACACAATGAAGACGTTGACATTTCACACTACTTCAAACAAAAGGTTAGAAAGGAACCCCTTATCAATAGTATAAAGAATCATAACAACTACTAAAATTGAGAAATTTATTTTGCTGTAAAATGTTTTTAAGAGAATGATTTTATAAATTTCAACCGACAGCAACACTGGCTGCTCGGTCAATGAACACCAAATGTTTCCTTATAAGGAAACGGCTAATATTATCAGTACCATTACATCAACTTTGGAAACATTTCAACCTTCCTGGATTTTGTTGATGCCATCTCTCTTCAGAACATTGGCGATCATGGCTCTTCACACGTTCCTTTTCTTTATTATCTGGGAATTGCCATGAATTCGCTGGAAAAAGTTGTCGAGTGGTTTCTCACTATCTTCTCCAGGGTTTTAAATTCTGGGTTGTCATTGTCTGAGATTGGCTGCCAACCAAGGCTATTTAGTAGCTGGAAGGAGAAGAAATGGATTTATGTTGTTTTTTTTTTCCAAGAAAATAATGGCATAATGAAAATGTTGACATTCCACACTACTTCAAACAAAAGGTTAAGAAGAAAACTCCTATGATCACTCGAAAGAGCGACACTAGTTACTGGACTTGCAAAACCTATTTTCCTGAAAAATTGTTTTAAGAGAAGATTTTATAAGTTTCAACCGAAAATAGTACTGGCTGCTCGGTCAATAAATGCCATTTTTTTCTTTGTAGAGAAACGGCTAATACCATTAATTCCTTAGATCCATTTATATTCTGTTAAAGCTTTCCATCATAGCTTACTTGATAAATCTATATTAGTATGTTTAGAGTTTGATATGTTTACGACCACGTTGATAACCGAAGTTAAGCAACGTCGAGACTGGTCAGTTCCTAGATGGATAACTGTTTGGTAAAACCAGATGCTGTAAGCGTTGATGTGCTGGTGATGTAATGGATGACGACACGAAATGAGAAATGGAAGATCCCTGTTCGAATTCCAGTTGGGTTTGTTACATTCAATTACGTGCAATCACTATTAGGCGATCGATCGTGAATCGAAAAGAGGCCTGATCACCTAAGCGTGTCACATTTGCTCCTACCAATATGCATTGAGCCAGTTCGACTGGGTAACGGCAAATTCCTCCCCATGAATCTGGGCAACGCCTACGTCCAACGAAGGACATTCACATGTGGAGAAGAAGAGTTCGTTATATTCTGTTAAAGGTTTCGATAATCAATCCGCCCCCAGAAAGTATCTGACTCCTATTGCCATGCTATCTTTACAAGAGCCTGATGAGACCAAAAATGTTTTTTTTTTTTTTTTTTGCTACAATATCTGGGTTGGAGCTGCCCAATCGGCTCTCCCGCTAAAACCGACAGAGTTCAAATCAGCTGCGCAGGCAGTGAAGTATTTTCCTCCCTACAACCCCTTTCCCACAGACTCAAAGTCGTGAGCCTTTCACTACTTTATCGCTACTTGTATAGAAAATCTTCTGGCAAGCTACATTCCTTTGTTCCACAAGTTAAAACATTCACAGCTAAAACCTGCCATGCCGTATACACAGAGGCGAACCATCGTCATTCTTTTCGTATTCCATTAGTAAGTAGGAAGTTCCCTTCGGACAGCTTCTTACTAAGAAACATTACTTTTTGGAACAGACTATCGAGGAGATACTTCCCATACCACTATAAAATCATTTCAAATCTAGGATCGACCGTTATCTATCTGCACTTTCCGCCTTCTCACTCGTTCATGCAACAATCTAGTTAGTCACCCTCTATTTTGAGTGGCTCTTGGGCCTTGTATTCGATGAATATTTAGTAAAAAGTATGACGAATGTATGTTACAAAAAGAATGACAAATGTATACTGTTATACATATAAAAGGACTGTCATTATATAATAGGTCAGTACACTTTTCTTTGTTTTTAATGAT